TGAGACATGGGTCTCTTCTTTATCAAGTTGTTATTGTGTCACAGGCTTATTGTTTGAAGAATAAAGGTAATCTGTGTTGAGTGCACAACATAGTCTTAAATAAATATACAGTTTCTTTATTCTCCACAGAAAGATTGTGACCATGAGTCAAGATTGTCAACTTGACTGGGTTAAGAAACATAGAGCAGGTTCATAATGCTCACTTTGGGGTGGATCTGGCTGAGTCATGAGGCGTGACCATGGGTACTACATCTGGTCTCTGGTCCCTTCCTGTCTGGTACTATTCCCCTGCTTTGCTTCCTGGCCATCATAATGTGAACAGATTTGCTCTACCACACACTTCTGCCATGTTGTCTGCTTTGAATCCAGCCAATCACAGATGGACTCAAGCCAGGAGATAAGTCAACCATTTTCTCCTTTAAATTGTGGGTCTGCCATTTTGTGCCAGCAACAGGAAAGCTGACCAAGTCAAAGACTATGATTAGTGTTACTGTTAAAAGTTCCCCTGAGTCAGAAAGATGAAATAAATTTCTAAAATTCACAGGTTTGTAAGTTGAGAAAGCTGAAGGTATAACCTATTTCTCAGAAATATGAGCCTCAAAGCTCTGGTAACTCAGAGAAACAAATCTATACATGGCAGCATTTCTAGTTTCCTGCATCCATTTATTCCTCAAGTACGGACTTGGGCATGTGTGTGATGTACAGACACTAGCATGAACAAGACAGGCAATGTTCCTTCTTCTCCAGAGCAAGGGGGAGAGGAATCAGAAAGAGGGTAAGGGCCCTCAAATCACATGCTGAAACCCAGAAATGATTCTTGGTTCTTACATTAGGGGTGGCCTGGCCTGAAATGTCATAGCCCTTGGACTACACCTCATGGTCTAACTACCACCATCCCAACACAGTATCAGCAGACTGTCCACTGCCTTCACAACAGGTCACAAAAGATGAGGTGAATATAATACTTCAACAATAATGAGAAGGGGCCACTTTTAGAGAATGTTTTTGGGGTGCTATGCTCTGTAAGGAGCGTGTGTAGGCCTGTCATCTCCTGCTGGATATGCTTCCATGAGGCATGCTAGATGGGATCAGAAAATGGGAGGACAGGTGGGGGTTGCTGATGAGAGCCTCCAACAGGGAGGAAAAGCTGCCTTGGTATCTCTGCCTCCCCCAAGAGATGGGTTCAAGAGTATGAGCCTACAGGGTCTTGATCAACTTCATGCACCACTGGTGGTGGTACAAACTAACTTCCAAAGGACTCCTTGCAAACAGGAAGGCATCATTTCAACCTCCATGACTGATGGAAGCTTGGCGTTACCCAAGAAAATCATAAGTCACTCCAGCTTGTTTCACTTCATGCAAGAAACTAGCATGCGTGCATTCGTGTGTGTGTGTGTGTGTGTGTGTGTGTGTGTGCATCTGTGCGCACGTGAAGAAAAATGCACTTGGTAAACAAGAGTGCTCCAGTTTGTCTTTGTTGAACAGCTATCTCCAGGGAGGAGAGTCAACAGATGTCAGAGAAGATTATAACTCCAGGCAGTCCAAGGAAATGAGGTAGGTAGTCAGGCTGTTCACGAGGGACTGTAGATTATCAGAACACCTGATTAGAGGAGATTTTATTAATCTCTTCCTGCCAACTTTCCCATAGATAAGGGTCAGACTGTGGGGCCCTGCCCTAGACCACGAGGGAAGCATACAGTTGTGGCCCCCTCTTGGCAGGACGCGGCATCGGAGTCAGTGGAATCTGAGTAAACAACTGCTCGTACTAACCTCGGAGGCCCCTCTCTGGTGTCTAATAAGCGCAGCGAGCCCTCTCGGCCCTTCTCTCTTCCCCGTGGCTTCCTTATGCAATGTGATGCTCATTGTCGAGTTGGAAGGACAAAGGCACTGAGTAAGCGCAATTTATTATCCAGGATTGTTTTCAACCTTTTTCCAATTATACACATTTTCTTCTGGCTTTGGCAGATCTAGGTTTATGAGGCTGTTCTTCTGGTCCTAATGGGCTGAACAAATGGGCCCCAAGTATTCCTTGAGGGTTGTGTTACTGGCCGTTAGGAATTTGCTTAGGACATTAGCTCGTTTGAATGCAGTTAATTAAATAAGAAACTAATATTGGCTCCTGATTCCCCCACTATTGACCTCCCTGCTGTCTACTTAAAACACAGCTCCATACAGAATCATCGAGGAATCACACACTATCAGACAAACAGAGAAGGAAACCAACAGGGCTGGGGTGCTGTTCTTGGAATGTGCGTGTTCTCACCTGCTGGTGAGAGAATAATGGACTTAGCAAGCAGAAGGGCAGCATTTTATAGTTGAGAGGGAAAAAGCTAGAGGCCGGAGGACAGGGAGCCTGTGTCCCGGGTCGAATGCTTATCTGCTGATGACCTTGAACAGGTCACACGCCTCTCTGTCATGCGGGAACTGGTCTGTAAATGATGTCAATGATGACACCTCCTGCCCCTTGGCTGAGTTGGGAACCAGAGGCTCACGTTTTCATCCTGCCAACACCCCCGTGGACGTGCTCCAAGCTCAGGGCTGGGGCTCCTTCCTTCCTAAGTCACTTCTTACTGGATTCACACCTTCTCGTAGCTGTAGCCCTGCCACCTACACGCATCTATGCCACCAGTTTTGACCTCTCTACAAAGTTCCGATCTAACACAGCAAAATGCTAGTTGGACATTCTGTGGATGGGTTTTTGTTTTTTTTTTACACAGTTTTCTTTTATTAAAGCTCACACAGGCCAGCCTTCAATCTTTACATCAAGTCTGAATCGTGTTGCTGTGCATGGCAGGGCATCAGCTTTGACCTGGAGTCTAAGGTTTTCAACTGCGTGACGTGACTACGGCACGCGGTGCCCTGCGCTTAAAAGGGGAGGCTCACAGGACGGCAAAGGCTGGAACTAGAGGAAGGAAAAGTCTTGGCAGACTCCCTGACATCTCACAGACACTGCATCGCTAGCAGTATTTCTTTATTCTTGAGTTGATCTTGGGATTTTTATAATGCTGTTACTCTCAGAGTATCTCCTATGTCAATTACACATGTTTTTCAAATACAGAACAAAGATGTACTTCAAAAGTTGACTATGTATAAATATCCTGCCCATTCAGATTGTTTTCTCTTTGAGTCCCACTGTTAAGTTCTTATGATGAGAATAATTTCAAGTTACCATAAAACTATAAAAATGCAGCAAAGATTTCTTCAGCTGCAAAGAAGATGAATAATTTTGTGATTAAAAAAAGCTAGTATCAGGCCGGGCATGGTGATGCTGCAATCCCAGCACTCAGGAGGCTGAGGCAGGAGGATCACTGTGAGTTGGAGGCCAGCCTGGGCTGCATAGTGAGTTCAAGGCCAGCCTGGACTACACAGCAAGGTACTGTCTCAAAAAAAAAAAAAAAAAATTAATTAAATAAATAAAATGCTAACATTGGCATCTAAAAATCCATCTCACATTTTAAAAACATGGAAATTAAAAATACTGAATCCAGACTGCATAAAGCAGGGGGTTGTGGAAGTTGCTTCTTCTCACTGAATCTGGGTAGTTTTCTTATCATATCTGATAGTTTTCTTAAGGTACTTTAGCAAAGAAGAGTTTACATCTAGCTTTGCTTTCTAAGCTTCTTCATATCTTTTAAAGTAATGGTCTCTGTTCTGAGATCATGTTTATGCTTTGGGCAGCAAAATACGACAAAAGAAAATTAAAAAAAACTAAAGATCTCTGAGGAAGGTCAAAGTCTCAAAACACAGAGTCAAGTACTGACTGCCAATGAGGTCTGGAGCAGATAGGAGTGTGATAAGTAATATTTCTGCTGTCATCTGTCCTTCCTGGACCCAGGGCTGGGAACGAGTGCTCGTCCCACTGTAGTGCTGTCTTTGTTACTATTGCTGTCATTTTTTTCAGTTTTAGGGGTTTTATGTTTGCAAAACTTCAGTGCCTCATCTTTGACACCAGAGTGAGGATGAACATGCTCCTTCCGAAGCAGCATGCCTATCTCGTACATGTGCGAGGAGTGAGCTGCTAGGACACAAGCTTTGAGCTCTCTCTAAGGGAGGCAGAGAAAATATACATTATTCTCCTTTAAGGAAATCTATGCAAGGCCAGTTATACTTTCTCGCCAAAATAAAAATGAACATCGGCCCCCTAAAAAGTCATCCTTGAAAATGTGTACTTGAAGTCTCCTGTCTCCCTGTCTCTTAAGAGCAACTGAACATTGTAAAAGGGATTCCAACCTTAAAAGCTTGATTGGGTCTAACACACCGGGAGGTTCCTTCTCATCCTGGGATCCTGCGGTTCTGTCTTCTTCTTTTTTTCTCCAATTGTAGTGATGGTGTCCCTGCTTCCACATTCTGGAACACTATTGCTTCAGTACTATAGCCAGAGCGTGTGTGTGCATGTGTGTGTGTGCGTGTGTGTGTGTGTGTGTGTGTGTGTGTGTGTTTCTCTCATCAAGGAGAAAAATAACTACTTCTACATTAATTTGAAAAATAGGTAGCTAATGAACCAATTTCTCTTGGTATCAGAACATTTAGCTCCACAGGTCACTGTCCAAACCCAACCTGGTCACAAGAACCTCCATGTCCAATTCATGAGATGCCCAGCATCAATGATTTAATTTTGCAATTAAAAACTCAAAGCTGCAGAGGTAGGAGTCAAAGACAAAGGTTACACAAGGATCCGGATCTCCGGTATTTGTGTTCCAAAACTTTCTCAGTGAGCTCGTATTGATCTACACTGGATTTGTTGACAAAGATAATTTAGGGCCAAAATCCCAAACTATATGGAATGGTCATCATGAGTATATATGGGAACCCAGGACAAGACAGGTGTTCCCTAATACAGAGGACAGTGAGTTATTTGAGGGCCTCATTGTTATTTATGTTTTGTCCACAAGATGGTAGCGCACGCTTCTCCATTTGATGTAAAGCTGGCCCAGGAACTTAATTTCCCGTAAACTAGAGAATGGTTAGCGTTGAACCGCTGCCAAGCAGTCTGGACATCATTCCACATTTTTTTTTATTGTGATGAATTGTTAATTTGGAATATGTTTAGTTTTGCTTCGGCAAGGTGGGGATTCATCTGAAAGAGAGAAAACCCAGCAATTCATCGCATTTCCAGCTTCTTAGAAGGAATTTGAGAAGCGGGAATACTTTGGATATCTAAAAACCACACACCAAGGATCAGATACTGACATTTCTCAAAAACACTACCTTAGTACATCATGCAAAAGACATTCAGGCTGTCAAGTTCAATTAATCTTGGGTGAAAATTGCACAGTAACAGAAGTTTCTACCATGAAACTAGTTCAAGTGGGTTATAGGTGGCTTCCCCTTGGTCCAGGCGGAGCGTCAGACCTTAGAAGTTATGAAATTTCCATGAGCTAAATGGGAGGGTGGTGGCAGCGGTTGGCCTGCTCTTCTGTCTGCTGTGTGCCTCTCTCCCTTCTCCAGCCCCAAGCCAAGGCGACAGGACACAGATGGGGAAAACATCTGGCCTCACTGGCCCTCATGGCCTAAAGGGTCTTCTCTGAGGCTTCGGGTCTCAGGCTCACTTTGTCTATTTTTTGAACTCTTTTTAAAATGAGAGGCTCAAGTGGGATTTCCTTTCATCTTACTATATTATTTTCAAATTAAATTAGGCCTCATGTCCTGTATCAGAACTGCAGAAGCAGGGCTCCAGGGCGCTGAAGCTGAGGTCGCCACGTGGAGCTGGGAGAGGCAGCAGATGAGCCAGAGGCAGGGGCTGGGATGGAGGATGGCAGGGAGCGAGAGGAGGCCCTGCTGCTCCAACTCCAGGGCCGCCTTTCCTCTCCAGGGGCTTCCAGAATGAAGTCTAGCTTTCCTGACCCTCCCCAGCCCAGCCCTACCCTAGCTCGGCATGCCTGCACCCATCTTCCAATAAAAGCCCAGTGAGGTCGCACCTCCCTGCTCGTCACGGCCTCCACTCCCAGGCCTTTTCTTTCACCTTCTTTTTGATTCCCACAGCTTCAACTTCAACTGGAAACTCCAGAGCTTTGGCTGACACCGTCACCCATCAAACTTTCTCTAAGAAGCCGTGCACGTGTGGGAGCAGCCAGGTTGTTTCTTCCAGATGTAACCAAGTAGAGAGTCTTGAGTGAATGAGAGAAGGAAAAATGCTTTAAGACATAGTCACAAGCAACTGGAGTCCAGCCTTGATTGTGACTGGGTAATTCTTCCGCTTTCTGTGGAATCTGGATATCTTCTAAGTCAGGACTTTTTGTCACTGTCTGCTTAATGATATGGCAAGTTCAGTGCCACCAGATGGAGTATTCTATTCCTCTTCTACCAGATAGCGTGCTGTTTACTATATATAGCCCCTTACATTACACAGGGTGGAACAAATTAGCAAGTGGGGCTTGATTTGAAAACACCTCACTCTGGAATCTCTGGAAACCCCGTACTTGTCCCCCAACGGGGTAACAAGCATACCTTCTTGCTAGGGTGGCATGGAGATGCTGCAGGAATGTGCAAGGGGACAGGAAAACTGTGGAGAACAGAAGGAAGCAAAAGGGGAGGCAGACAAAAGAAGAAGGGGTCTCAGAGACCATCACACACTCAGTGAAGGACTGGCAGGAAGGCTATAGGGTGTGTGTGTGTGTGTGTGTGTGTGTGTGTGTGTGTGTGTGTGTGTTTTGAATAATGGTAAGATGATGTTGGGTAAAAAAGCAACACAATTCCTCAGGGTAAAATTGGGTGTTTTGAAAAGCTTTGTAGTATCTTGAAGGACTCCTCAGCCCTCAGACTGATCTTCAATCCTCTCTCTCTCTCTCTTTCTATCTATCTCTATCCTATCTACCATCTATCTATTTGGATTATAATATACATATTGTCTTATAATCACTTCTTTCCACTTAACTTATCACAAACCACTTCCCAGGTGGTTCAATAATTTTCCCAAGCTACAATCTTGAGCAGCTGTGAAGTGTTCCATCATGTAGAGGAGTAGCTGGCTTTTAGACCACGTGTCATGACTGGGCATCATTTGCCTGAAGCTGTTGGAAGATGCAATGAGTGGTCTCCAAGCCATTGTCATCTCCTTCCCTGTGGGGATGGGAAGATGCAAGCTGGACCACATGTGTTGAGACAACACCAGCCCTGGAGGGGATGGAAGGTCGCATTTCCAAACTCTGGGAGTCTGAGCTCTCAGCTGACTGAATGTACTTCCAGTCTCCACAGCAGGCCACTGTGGGAGGAAAAAGGCAGACCAGTAATGTCACCATGAGCTGCTTGTTGTTTGACCTTCTGAAATTATGGACTCTTTCCCACTGGAAATGGGGTCTTGAATTTTATACTAGAAAGGACAGCATGTGCTTGGCCCCAAAGTCCCCTAGGAAGGCATACATTGATGAACCTCCACTCACAGGGAGATTTATGTGTGGGCAGGGGAACTGCTGGAGGCCCACTCTTAAGATTCGCAGACATTCTGTACATAACCTCATTCCTCTGTGCGGAAGCCATAAAGAAAATGTTCTGTTCTTAATGAGCAGTGTCCCTGGGGAGGAGTGCAGCCCAGAGAGCCCAGAAGATGGGCCGGCACCTGGACACCACCACTTGGTCATGTACTTATAAGGCTCTTTGTGCTTCTTGGAAGATAACGCAGATTCTAAATTCTAGTCTCGTTATTACTAGATGTCCTCCGTTTTAGTTGCTTCCTTCATCATGGGAACAAAATACCTGACACCCACAATTTAGGAATGGGAGGTTTATTTTGGCTCACATTTCTGTCCATAGTCAGCTGTCTCTGGGCAGGACAGCATGGCAGAGGGGCCTGGCGGAGGACAGCTGCTCAGGCCACGGTGGACAGGAAGCAAGAGAGCTTAGGGAGGAGCTGGGGAGGGAGACATCACTTTCCGATCATACCCACAGTGACCTCTTGTGACCAGGCTCCACCTTCCAACAGTAAGTCAGTTACAACGCCATATAATCCAACCACCTTCCCAAGATCCTCCTTCTGCTCACACGGGGCTTTAGGGAACATCTGATAGAAACACTCTCGTGTACTCTTTTATCCCAAACTCTGTCTTTTTCAATAATTTTTTTCTTCTCTCCTATTTGAAGTGAGGTGAACAAAGAGGGAATTAGTAGGCTCCCATCTAAGTAATGCCTCCTCCCAGTCCACCCTGCCCAGCACTGTGCTGAGACAAGAAAGAGGAGCAAGGTGGAAAAGTCCAGTTGGATAAAGGGACCATGTGTGCTCACCCAGGAACACAGAGGGCTGGGTGACAGCACCAAGCAGGCTGAACCACAGATTACCCTCTCCACCACTCCACCTGCTAAGTCTGAGCTCCCAATCAAACTAGTGTTTACTGAGCAGCTACAGCAGAGGACTGGACTAAGAAGGGGCGATCAAAACATAAATTCAGGGGCTGGGGATTTAGCTCAGCGGCAAAAGCGCCTGCCTGGCAAGCGCAAGGTCGTGAGTTTGGTTCCCGGTACCGGAGAAAAACCAAAAAAAAAAAAAAAAAAAAAAACATAAATTCATTCACTCATTCTACAAATGCTTATTGCCACCATGCTGCATGCCAAACACTAGGAAGGACATTGGGGAGAGGGTCGGGAAACACAGAGACATGGGGTCTCCGCTTTCATGAATTTCCAGTCTAGCAAATGATGTAAATGTTAAATTTTAAATAATTTAGTATTTTAAGAGATCATGTGCCCTCTGCTTCACCCACATTCTGAAGCACCGGAGAGAAAGACACTGGAATTGGATTGGTAGAAATCAAGTGCTAGCTTTATGGCTGAGGGAACTGTTTGAGGCATATGGCTCAGTCAGGTGGACATTCCAATATGACTCTGAATGAACTTTCTTCCCAGAGAAAGTTCACGACTCCTTCCCAGGGCTCGAGCTTTATCATCTGACTGAGTCCCTGCAGAAAGACAACCAAAAATGGTTAAGGCCCTCTACCAAGCGCATCCACTGCCAAAGAACCTATGCTCATCCTCACCTTCTCCAATCTGAGCAGAAGCAGGCCCAGGATGGGCAGTCAGCTGGTGTTCTCCACTGAGAGGGGGTAGCCACAGACCTGGATAAGCTCTGTTGGCTAAGCAAGCAAAAACCTAGAATTGGATATGAGAGCAAGGCTGTTCTTCTAATGCACCTGTCCATATAAAGTACAAAAATTGAGAACTGAACACACCCTTTCCATATAGGGTTCATGCTTGAGGAAGAGAAGCCCAGGGAATTGTGGGAAAACCAAACACAGGAGCCTGACTTATTCCAAGGGTGAGATGTACCAGCAAAGTGTGTCCCTGTTCTTGGGTAATTGGAGGGTACACCAGGAAAGGAGTCCTTGCAAAAGGAGGAGAAGTCTACGCATCATAAAACTAATATAAATTCTGTACTAGTAAGTCAGGTTCAAAGTTAAATGGAGGGAGGAACAACAGATGTTTACCAAATAGTCACCATCACGTCCTGCTGTTCTTTTAGGACTACTTCTGACCTCTGTCTTCTAAAGTATTAAGAGACGATGGCATGCAGGATGACCTCTTTACTATTTTATCATCATAGGGATACATAAGCTATAAAGTAAAGATTTCAGTCTTAGGGACACATTCAAAGACTGGGTAAGGTATTTTGGTTTTTCTTTTGCTCTTAGGTTCTGTTGGTTGTCTAAAACACTCAGCTCAATTGAACTTTATGACATCATCTAAACAAAGCCTCAAGTCTATCCAAAGTATAGACATCTGAAAATACTTTTACAAACCTGCTTTTTATTATGAAGTTAGTGTATATTTGGTAAATATTTTAGAAAATATGAAGACATCCTACTATTCAAACTCAGCCATGGTTATCACTTTGATGTACTACTTCTTGGCTTTTGCTTAATTTACCCCTCTGCATAGAATTTGCTTTATTTTCTTAGTGGTTTTGCTCTGTATGCATTACCAACTCTCAATTCTCTGCAACAGATTAACTAATTTGTGGTTTAACCATTAGTAAATGTAAAGCAAATAACCTGTGAGAAATTATCACAGCTAGTATAAATCAGTGGTAATCTTCCTTCACCAGGTACTGTACCACTTTGTTTGTAACTCCGTACTGTCTGTACTGTTCCTTTGTCATTTTGTAAAATGTTGTCTTTCTGTTAATATTTTCCTCCTTTTATTTTTAAAATAAAAAAAAAATTTAAAAAATAAAATCTACTAAGTACCAAAAATGCTGCTATAAGCTGGGAAATCAGATGAATAAGAAAACTAACTCCTATTCATACTTAGCTCATTTTCTCATTCTTGTGTTAGAAGACATCTACTGTCTGGAAGTGTAGGCAAACCCAGGGCAGCATGAGGCTGTCCCTTCTCCTGTCTCACCCACTAGGAAAACAGCCAATTGCAAGCAGGTCCACTTTGCACCCCCCAATCCTAGAGTCGTCGTTCATATCTAAATGTTCTGCTAAGCCTTCATGAGATCATAGGTGGGAACTTTGGAAAGTGATTGGATTATGGGGGCTTCTAGCTGATGTGCTGTTAGGAGGCGGGGCCTGATGGGAAGAGGTGGGTCATTGTGGGTGTGACCTGGAAGGTAATTTCTGATTTCCTGTCCCTTCCTGTGACTCTCTCTCGACTTCCTATCTACCATGATGTGAGCAGCTTCTCCTCCGCCAGGCCCCTCTGCCACACCACTCTGCCTTGGACCTTCGAGCCTGCTGACTATGGACTGAACCCTGTACCGACTGTGAGCCAAAATAAACCTCTTCTTCTTGTGAGCTTCTTGGGTATTGTGTCTCAGTGACGAGGAAAGTAACCAAGATAAACAGCAAGTCACAGTTGGTGGACAAGCAAAGGAACTCCTTGTAACAACTCTGAGTTCTTACAAACTCCAGACTAGAGATGGAGGTGAGAAAGAGCAAGATGAGAGAGGCACAAGCTTCGTTTCCACCCCTGCACTTGAAGAAAGCCAAACAGTTGTAACATTCCCATTTTAATCAGCTCACATTTGGACCAGTTCCAAGTAATTAATGTGACATGATTTTAAATTTATTTTATAATGTTTAGGATTTCAGATAATATCTATAAAATGATAAGTAGATTAATAAATATAGAACACATAACTAAGTAAGTATGCATTTGATCCATTTTCTATCATTTTGACCATGTCCTGAGGAATTCCTATGAGCTTACCATACACCCTCAAGGTGATATTTACTAAGGGTTGATGACAATAGCAGTTGTTGGAACAGACTTTTTTGTTTGTTGGGTTGGTTGGTTTTTTTATTTTTATTTTTTTCAGTACAGAGGATCAAACCTAGGGCCTTGTGCATTGTAGGCAAGTGCTCTATACACTGAAGTATTCCAAGTTCCCTGTTAGACTTCATTTTTAAAGTCATTTAACCTGATTGTATCTACTTAAGGTACTAATAAGATATCTCCCAAACAATTTTAAAAGTACCATTAACATGATTTCTGGTTCAGAGTTAATACAAGTTCTTCAAATGTAATTTTGGGAAATGTAAATATAACCATGTCTCCAGGGAGCTGGAGGTTAATTTTATTACATGCTAATTGTTTTCAAGGGAAAATGTTAACATTTGGAACTTGGCTGCTTGCTTTGCATGCAGGAAATTTGTATTGGAGTCCAAGAGTCTCAGGGTAAAGGGAAGATCAAACCCTCAACCATTCTCCCAGAGGTTTTAATGATTTACCAGCATGGCCCTGTCCCTGCCTCCAAGGAAGGTGGTGGTGGAGAGGAACAAAGGATTCCAGATTAAGGACATTGTAGGTGCTGACCTGTGTCCTCATCATCCTACAAGATTTACACTTGATGCATGATTGTCATTTTGTTAACTTATCTCTCCTATTTTTCTCTAAAATCCCATTTCAATGTGAATTTGATTTATATGGACTCTATATATTGCTTTTGACAGGAAAAGTTTAGCCCATAATTTTGTATACAGTGAAGTCATAACTCATATGAGAAGCATCAAAAGAAGTTTTCCAGTATACAAGAGTTTGGAAAACACACTATCTGTGTTCATCAAACAACACACTAGGTTTCTGTTGTTGTGACAAAATCCCTGAGGAAATCAACTTAAAGGAGGAAGTATATTTTGGTTCACTGATTCAGAACTTTAAATCCATGGTTGCTTGGTTCCACATGGCACTGCTTTTGTTTGAAATCTATTGTAGACTCCTCCCCCTTCAGAACATAAGCTCTCAATTTATTCAAATTTTCTTTCATGTTTCCTAGGCTGGGACTATAGTTTTCTTAGTGTAAATCTATTGTAGTTTATGACTAGTATTTTGTATGACTTTTTTTTGTTTTTATATAGATAATATATATATATAATCTCATGGACATATAAAATCATATTTGATACATTACTATGTATCTATGTACTATGAGTACTTTTACATCATATATTACAATTGATATAACTTTCATTTTGTATATCAGATTAATGTACATTAAGAAATTTTGATCATGTTGTATCCATCTTTAAACCATGAATTATTTTTGTTTGATTCTTTTGTAATTTTAAGTGAAGTTCTGAATCATGTATAAATAATAGTATCCTATCTTCCTTTCAATGTTGCTATATTTTACTGTTCTGTGTCTTACTGTCTTTACTACAAATCCCAGTGCAAAACAATTATGTTGAAAACTCTGATATTGTAAGCGTTGTCTTTGGTTTAAGAAAGTTAAAACTTTACCATGTTAAGAGAATATTCTAATATTGGTATTTTGGATTTCCATAGAAATGCACATTGCCATAAATTAAATTGATTTAGGGCTTCATTTAATGATTATAATCTTTCTTTCTTGATCTCTTATTCATGGATTTGTGACTATAAATTATATTTTCATTTTTATGCAAATACCACTTCATCAAAGTGGAATTATACTGTAGAATTAAATTAGTTAATATTTTATCTATTATACTTATGCTTCTATATTTACAAAGAATTTGTTCAGCTTTACTGCAGGGTTTTTATCAATTTTGGACTTCAGGTCTATGAGATTTTTCAGGTCATCAGGGAAACTTTCCACTGTTTGTATGGATGGAACTTTGTTTTCTTAATACTATAGGCCTGATTTTTTTCTTAGAAGTTTAAAAAGGACATACAAATTCAATCATTTGGAATTCCAGCCTCAATGTTTTAAAATATTTCAAAATCATTATAGATATTAGTCTTTTTATTTTTGTCTCTTTTTAAATCAATTTTGTTGACTGATATTTTTACAGAAATACTGTAATTCATTGAAGTACCTAATTTGACATTGTATTTGCTTTCAGTTGATTTTAAATAGCTGCCTAAAATAATTTTTGATCAATTTACCATTTAAGTAATCCCAATTCTTACCTTCAGTGCTTTATCTATTACATTTAATTCATGTTAGTTGTTACTTTCGACAAATATGTCACTTGGCATAAAATTATTTTAGATTTTTTTTTTAAAGAAGTACATATAAATGGTGTCACATTTGGATTTCAAAGGTCCCCCAGAGGTACATGGGATGAAGATTTGATCTCCAGATGGTGGTGCCATTGGGAGGTAATGAAAATATTAGGAGGTGGAAACTGGTCAGAGGAGGTAGGTCATTAGGGGTATGCCCTTGAAATGGATACTTGAACCTCAGAACACCTCTCCCCCTATACCACTTCCTGGCCACCATGAGGTCAGCAGCTTTGCTCCTCTGTGTTCCCATGATGTTTCTGCCTCACCACAGTTCTAGAAACAGGGGACCTAAAAAAACCGTAGACTGAAACTGAATAAATTTTCCAATATATAAGGGTTTAGAAAATATATCACCTGTGTTCATCAGATTTCAGTTGCTATGACAAAATACCCAAGAAAACTTAAGGGAGGAAAGATTTATTTTGGCTTACAGTTTCAACAGTTATTTTTATTACACTTGTACTTTTGAAAATATTCACACTATTGGGACACAGTAGTATATTTGCTTACTTGGAATTAAGTAGTCCTTCTGGAATGATAAACTGAGGACTATTGCTAAGCCAAGATAGTTTTAACTATTTTTAGCTTCACTTCTGTGCTCTGCCTTTCAAACTCATCATCTTCACCTTATTTTTTTGTTTATTTTTCTTTTTTTAATCTTCACTTTAAAGCATAACTGGAGTGCAGCTCATTTGCACAGTTGCTAGCCAGTGTCCAGCAGGCATTTTCCCAGGACTACTCTCTGGCTCATATTAAAATGAATTGTGTGGCTTAGTGCTGCCTCTGTATATACTTTAAGTTTAACCTAAAGATTTCTTCATGTATAGTGAATCACAGCCTAACTTGAAGTGTAAACAGGCTGTAAGCTACTATTGTATCACCTAGGTGAATCTGAGCCAATCACAAACAGCCAACAGAAACTTTTCAAATAAGACAGATGTGAGTTGTAACTGTCACTATGTACCTCACTTCCTTTTCTATATGTTGTTTCCTTTTTCTGGGTATAAGTAAAACCTGCCACATATTGAGCAGGGCATTCTGAACCATCTTGAGAGCAGAGTGCTATGAATTCTAGAATCTGAAAAGAAGACAGTTATGATCTGTTAAACTAGATTTGTTGCAAATTTCTCCTTTAACACCCACAGTGGCACCTTTCTTAACTCTGTTATGTGCTTCCCTGAACT